CGCCAGAGCTGCCGCCCCCGCCGCTGCCGCCGCCGCCGCTGCCCCCGGGCGCGCCGTCCGCCTCTGCAGATGCGGCCGCCGCCGCGGCCGCCTCGGCCGCGGCCGCGTCCTCGTCGTCCCCTAAAGCCATTGCCATCGCCACCTCGTCGGGTTCCCCATGGGCACCTTCCAACCCCGCCATCTCATCAGTAGCCGGGGACGGCGGCGGGCTGCCCGGCAGCCATGCGCCGCCGCCACCGCCTCCGCCAAACGCAGCGCCGCCCGCGCCGCCCGTAAAGGCGCCGTCCTCCCCGGCGGCGCGGGTCGGGGAGGAGGCGCCGGGGAGGGTGATGAGGCCGGTGCTGGGGCCGCGGCGGTGGAGGCCCGCGCCGAGGCACCGCCAGTATCTGAGACGAGAATGGCCGTTTGCATAAGCGAGCTGGTTGGCCCAGGTACTATGTGTATCATCGAATCAAAGCCGCCAGGATGCGGATGATGGGATGCGACCACCACCCAGCCGGCTGCAAGAGCGGGTTGACCGCGGTCAACCCCAACCCGGCCTGCTTACTCAAAACCACGTCGAACCGAGGGCGGCCGGGCGGCAGCCTAGGGAGCGCATTGTGGGGTGCGCTGGGCCCGCCTCGCCCTGCTGGCCGGTCAACCTGAGGAGCCCTCCACAGCCGGCGCGCCAATCCCCAAGCCTCGGCGCACGTGCACGCGCAGGCGCGCTGCTCGGCCCACCTCGATTGCACCGCCAGAGCGTTCTCGATGCCCGCGAGCCCGACCGCCGTCGGCACCACCGGCCGCGGCAGAGGGGGCGGCGCCTCTCCTAGAAGGACCCTAATGCAGGCCTCGACGCTGCAGGCAGTTGCGGACAGGTTGTAGCCGCCCTGCGCGCACACGCATCGATTTGGGGCCGCATCGAGGGTTGGGCGCTCAACCCCAGGCGAGAGGCGCGGGCGCCCGCGCTCGAATGAGCTGCTGCTGGCTCTGGCGGTGGAGGCGGCGGCGGCTGGACGGTCGCGGCGGGACGGAGATGCAGGCTTGCAGAAGTGAGGCCCCAGGGGGCTGTGTGAGTGCGGCCGCGGCGATCTGGGCCACGACAGAGGGGCCACGAATCGACAGCGGCAGAGGCAGCTGCAGGCGCAGGCAGATACACGAAAAACCCGACGGGCGTCCGGCCAAGCCCAGCCGCGGGCGCCCCGCACCTCAAGTAGTAGCACCAGCGGCGCCACCGGCAGCAGCAGCGCCGTCAGGTGGCCAAAGCACGCCGGCGTGACGTGGCAGCCGCCCAGGGGGTCGCCCTCCGCAGCGTCGAAGCCAGCGGACACTATGAGCAGGTCGGGCGCGAATTCGTAGGCGACAGGGATGAGGACGCGGGCAAAGGCTGCGATGTAATCCGCGTCGCCGGCGCCGGGGCCGTCCCAGGGTATATTCAGGGAGAACCCCTCGCCGGCGCCGGCGCCGGCGTCGGCGGCGGCGCCTGTGCCCGGGAAGAAGTTGCCGGCGTCGTGCCTGGCAAAATGAGCGAGAGGCGGGGCGTGCCGTTGACGCGGCGCGTTGCGCTTAGTCCGGCCGGGCGTGCCGGGGACGCAGGCAGCCGGCCCGGCGGCGGCTCGTATGCGAGGAAAGAGCTGAGAGAGCGCATTGTCAGCAGCGGCGCGGCCGTGCTGCCGTTAGTCAGACCTGTGGAGTGACATGTACATGACTGAGTCATCGGACTCGAATATCTCCTGGGTGCCGTTGCCGTGGTGGACATCCCAGTCCAGGATCAGCACGCGCTCCGCCCCCGCGCGCTGCGCCGCGCGCGCCGCGACCGCCCTGGCGGGGAGAGGCGAGGCGGCCGAAGCAGCTGGGTGGACGACGGGTTGCCAGCGCGGGTCACGGAAGCCTTCGGACCCGCCCTGAATTTGCGTTTGCGTCAACGAGCGGCTGCTGCCGGCTGGAGCAAAGCGCCACAACCGAGGCGCCCTGTCGTCGCAAGCCGCGGCGGCGGCGAGCGAGTGCCCGCGCGATGCAGCCTGCTCGGCCCGCACGACGTGCTTCTACAAACACAGGCCGGCGCTCACGCGTTGTTGATGAGGCAGAACCCCATGGATAGGTTGCTCTCCGCGTGGTGCCCCGGCGGCCGGATGATCGCAGCCCCGCCGGGCGCGTCGCCGCGCGCGACAGCGGCCGCGACGTCCGCGGCGCTGCCGGCGGCCAGGGCAGCGCATGAGAAGGTGGAGGCCGACATGTAGCAGTCGAGCACGTGGGGCAGGCCCGCCTCGAAGCCGTGGTTGATGCTGGCGGCCGCGGCGCCTGCAAGGTGTGGCGGAGGCGAGAGAGGGGCCGGTGTTCTCATTCCGCGCGCCCTGCCGTAGGCTGCGCGGGGCCGCCGGGCCGCCGGCGCAGCGGGCGGGGCCGGGCGGCGCGATTGGGCGGGCGGGCGCGGCAACCGGTCCGGTGCCGACCTGCCGCGCCGAGCCGCGCGCTGCCGGACTCGACTTCCGCCAGCAGCGCCTCCTGATGGACCGCCAGCAGCTCCTCCCGCGTCGCCGGCCGGCACGCGACCTGGCGGCACCTGTCCGCGAGGCCGGCCGCCGACAGGCGCGCCATCACGGCGGACGTGCGCTCGGGGCGCTCCGGGTGCGAGCGCGAGCGGAGGGCGCGGTGCTGCAGCAGGCGCGGGTCGTACGCCAGGAGCGGCGCGGAAGGCGAGGAGGCGGCGCGGGACGACACCTGCACACCCGCGACGCGCGGCGACAGGGGAGGGATGGTGAAGTTGAGGTGTGAAGCCACATCGAAGCGACCCGAAGCTGAGCAGGCGCTGCACGCCTGGCGCGGCTCGCTCCTTGGAGGATCATGAAAATGGGACAGCAGTCGCCCGGGAGAGCGGCCCCGGCTGGTGAACATGGGCGGGGGCGCCTCGCACCTGCCGCGCCCCCGCCGCCGCGGCCCCGCCCAGCGGCGGCAGCCGCCCCTGCAGAAGCGCTACATCGTCGGCGCTCGCGTGCCCGCAGCCGTCGCAGCGCGGCCCGAACAGCGCTGACGTGCAGTTCAGGCAGTACTGAGTTGTGCCGTCGCTGTCGGCGCCGGAGGCGGCGGCGGCGGCGCCGCTGTTGCCGGCTGAGGAGGGCAGCAGGAGGCCGCTGCCGCCGGACCACTGGCGCGAGGCACGCGGAGGGGATGTGAAAGATTCCTGGCGCTGCGCTTGGTGCTGCTGCTGCTGCTGCTGCTGCTGCTGCTGCTGCTGCTGCTGCTGCTGCTGCTGCTGCTGCTGCTGCTGCTGCTGCTGCTGTGGGTGCCACTGCTGCTGGTGCTGCGACTGCGACAGCGCCTGCTGCTTTTGTTCCTGCTGCTGCTGCTGCTGCTGCTGCTGCCCAAACTCTGAGCCAAACTGCGGTTGCTGCTGCTCCAAAGCGGCGCCCTCCAACTCCATGTCAGCATCAACATCCCCAGCTTCGACCTGGCCCTGCCAACGCGCCTCCTGCGCGGCCGCCGCACCGGCCGCCGCCGCTGCCGCCGCCGCCTGCCCCAGCTGCTGCCGCTGCAGTTGCTGCAGCAGACCTTGTTGCTGCTGCTGCGCCTGCCGCAGGCCGCGCGCTAGGGAGGACGGGGCTGCTGCATCCCTCTGCGGCAGCGGCAACGCGCCCGGCCAACCCTGCAGGTGCCCGCTCGCCGTTCTCAACTGCCCTAACTGGTAGCGCTGCAATTGCTGCTGTTGCTGCTCATCAGGCACCTGCTGCTGCTGCTGCTGCTGCTGCTGCTGCTGCTGCTGCTGCTGCTGCTGCTGCTGCTGCTTGAGACCCTCCAGCTGCCGCTGCAGCTGCTCGTAGTGCTGCTGCTGTGGCTGCACGCCTTCCCGAGGCTCCGGCCAGTCTGTCGCCGGCCCTGCCCCTGCCGCGTCGGACGCTGCTTCGAAATTCGGCAGGCGCCCCCAGCTGCCCGTGTCGAGGCTGTGCAGGCGCCCCATGCCGGCAGCGTCTGCCAACAGCAACTCAGCACCCGCGTCATCCGGCAGCGGCGGCAGCTCCAGCAAACCGATGCTGCTGAGCCCGCCGTCGCCGCCGGCCCCTGCCGCGCCGCCGCCGCCGCCGCTGCCGCTGCCGCCCCCGCTGCCGCTGCCGTTGTCGCGGTCGCCGTTGCGGACGCCAAAGTGCTTTGGGCTTAGGGGGCCGGTGGCTGAGAACTGTGCGAGATCGTCTAGAGCCGTCGGCGACAGGGCGCCAGCGTCATGAGAAGTCAGTCGCTGCTGCTGCTGCTGCTGCTGCTGCTGCTGCTGCTGCTGCTGCTGCTGCTGCTGCTGCTGCTGCTGCCGATGCTGCTGCTGCTCCGCCATTGAAGGCGGCGACGCGGCAAGCTGCAGCGAGCCCAGGCGTGCCAACGGCCCGGCCGGCTGCTGAGGCCGCTCCGACAGCAGCAACTGCAGCTGCTGCTCCTCCTCCTGCCGCCCCTCCCGCTGCTCTGCGCCCGGCGAAAGCAGGGCGTCGAGTAAGCCGTCCGCTGCCGCGCGGCGCTGCTGCTGCGCCGTCGCCGCGGCCGCCGCCTCGCGCTGCTGCGCGCGCTCACGCTGCTCGCGCCCCATGGATTCAACCATCGCGGCCACTGCCGCGGCCGCGGCCGCCTGCGAGGCGGCAGCGGCGGCGCCGCCGCCGCGGCCGATGGCGGTGCCGACAGACCCTCTGTACTGCCGGGGCGCTGTGGGGATGGTGCGGTGCAGGCCGGCATGGCGCTGGTGCTCGGGGCTTGCCCCTGGGGCGGACGCGCCGCCGGGCGTCCCCGCATAGCCGTTGGCGTTGGGGCCGTGGTTGGAGTTCGGAAGCCGCGCGTCGCCGGCCGCCTCGACGGGGACCATCCGCGGTTCGCGGTCGCCCACAGGGCCCCCTGGGTGGCCGTCGCTGCCAGAAGCGCCGCCGTCCGGGCCCGCGCCGCCGAAACCGCCACCCGGGAAAGAGAAAGAGCGGAGGTTGAGCGGCCGCGCGCGCTGTTGCTGCTGCGCATGCTGCTGCGGCGGCGGCCGCGCAGCTGCCGCGGCTTCTTCGTCGGCCGCGAGCGCCTGCCGATAGGCTGCAGGGTACGTCGCCGTGGGCTGGTGGGCGGCAGACGCGGGCGACACATGCGGGGGCCCTTCCATATCCGTGATGAGTGCCTGCAGCTGCTCCCCTGTTGAGGGCTCCCAGCTGGCCGGCAGGCCCAGCTGCTGGTCGAGGCCGTTGGGATCAGAGATCTGTCGCCTGAGGAACTGCCCAGAGGCGGTTATGGAGCCAAACGGATCCGACTCAACCTCTGGGCAATCCATGAGCATGGCGTCATCGGCAGATAGTCGCCGTTCGTGGTGGGGGAGGCCGGGCGCCGCGGCGCCGCCATGGTCCGGGAACATTACGATCTGGGTGCAGCAGCAGCAGCAGCTGCAGCTGCAGCAGCAGCAGTGCGGCGCTGCTGCGATAGACACGGTGAGCACCACGAGACGACGCCCGGGGTGTCCACGGCTATGCGGCAGGGTTTGAAAGCATCAGATTGTTATCATCTTGTGGTTGTAGTAAACACATGACACCACGAGTGCCCCGATGCGCGAGCAGGCATGCCTGCTAGGTCCGTAAGGTTCGGACGTGTGCATCAATGCAAGGTTATCGAATACAGAGATCTTGTCGATAGGGCAAACACACACCAAGATCACACACAGCAAAATCAAACCGTCAAACCCAGGAATCTCATTGGTAAGCGATATTTGAGCATGCTGAAGTGCACAGTCAGCACATGGAGGGCCGTAGTACAGGAATACATGCGCGATTCCGTAGCAGTCACGGCAACCAGTAACGATACACCCCGATGTCTGGTTCAGATGTGCTTGTGGTGTAGGTCAGTAGTCTCAAAAGCTTGAGCGTGCTGCGAAGGTTGGGGTGGGCCAGCCACTGCGCATCCAGCAGCAACCGCCAGGGAGCAGTTGCCGGGGAGCTGATCGGCATGCGAGTTTCGGCATGCTGACTGACCCACAGCCCCTTCCCTGTATGTACCAATTTGCACCAGCCTACCACCCATAGAAACCGGCTGCTTTACAGGCACGACAGGCACGACAGGCACAACTGTTGTGTACAATGCACGCGCTCGAAATCGGAACGCAAGCAGGTGTTTCCCACAGCAGTGCTGAGAGAGTCCGGGACAGCATGCCCCACCGCATCGAGGTTTGCTGCTGGCAAGCAACCCCTTGGGTTATGTAGGTCTACAACAGCGCGGCCTTGGAAAGCACGAGGGTGCGGCCCAGCGCACGTCAGTAGAGGCACGCGGGCCGCCCTCAATCTGTTGCGCGTCATGCATGTTGCGAGGCTTCGCTCGCAGATGCAAAAGCGGATTGATATTGCGCCCGTAGGAGCGCTTGCGAGGGCCGCTCCATCGACCACGCATGCGCACAGAGGATCTTTGCCGTGGGGGGTGCGCCGCCGGACGCCTGACCACTGGACAGGCCATCCACATCCCGCCGCTGGCTCATGGCCAGGGCGTCGGTGACTGTTAGAACAGTCTGAGGGCCTGGCTTGGGCATGGCAACAAAGCGCACACACAAGACGCAGGCGAGGTGGGGAGCCGTGATCGACACCCGCTGATGTGTGAATTCTGGTGTTGCAAAGTTAAGCACGATATCCACCCAGCAGACATTCTGGAGGCATGCATGCTCCGCAGCCGGCGGGAGGTTCAAAAGCAACGACCGGGAGTCGACGGCAAAGCTGGGTGGGCGGGCAGTGGACGCTAAACCTGGCAGGCACAAGTGGTGTTGGATTGATGAGAACGCTGCAAACCCAACTTGCGCACGCATGCAGGCGCGACGCACGCACGCATCTATCTCTGAGAGTCAGCCAGCTGGCGCGTGGCGCCCGGTCCTGGGACGCCGGCGCATGCACGCACGCGGGCGCGCGGGCAAAACGCCCATTCACGTGCGGCTGTCTATTACGGAAAGATCCTGCCCGTACAAAGGCGCGCGTAGCGTGCCGCAAAGGGGTGAAGTATGCACGGACGAAAGTGCGTATTGTGTGCCGCCGGACGCCACCAAAAACGGCACGCCTGGCCTCACATTCGCCGCCGCTTGCGTGCTCCCGCCCCCACACGCCGGCAGAGGCGGCAGCAGCAGCAGCAGCGGCGGCGGCGCGTGAAGCAGCGGCTTGACTCACTCAGCAAGCCGGGCGGGTTGTTGGTGCAATGCAAAGTGACTGATTTAGCGATGGGGTGGAAACGCGGGCGCTTCAAGGGGGCAGCGCCCGTGAAGTTGGTGGGGCCGGGGCAGAGGAGGGAGCCATGACGGGTGGGGGGCCCGGCACACAAGTGCGCCGGAGCCCGGGGTCGGATGGTGAGTATAGTTTTGTGCCCGCGGGTTCTGCGGCCTGGCCGAGGGGTTAGGGGCAAAGCGAGCCGGCACGAGGGTTGCCCCCCTCCAAACCGCACACACGCGTGCGGCGGCGCGCCCCGCCGCGCGCGCCTTTGTGCGGGGCGGGGGTCCCGGGGTGTTGGGTTGCATCGAACAGGGAAGCCGAGGCGAAAAGATCTGAGCGAGTGGGGTGTGGGTGGGCGCGGCAGGGGGCCGCGGCGCGCGCATAGGGAGAGCGCGCCGCTGCCACCTGCGCAGCCCTTGATGAACGCAGCCAGCGATTGGGCAGAGGGGCGACTGCACGCGGATACTTGCGGGGGACAACCAAGGCAAAAGTGAGAAGGTTGCCGGGCGGCGCGGGCGGGAGGGGTCGGGCAGGCAAGGGCTAAGAGGCGAGAGGGCGGGCAGGGGCGCCCCAGCGCGCGGCCGCTGCGTGCCGCGAGCATGGCGCGGCGCGGCGCGGCGCGGCTCGGCGCCGTTGCGGCGGCGGCGGGCGTGGTGGCCAGCAAGGGCTTGTTTGGGTTCAAGACGGAGAGCAGCACGTGTGGGGGTTCTCGGGCGGACGGCTGGTGCATGCACACAAACTGGCGGCTTTGGCCAGGTCGCTTGCTATCAGTACAGTCATGCGGATGGACGCGCCGTGAGGCACGGGGTCGACAATCAAACACACATGCGCGCGTGCGCGCGTTGGCACACAAACACAGGCGCGCACGCTCGCACAGCTGAGAAGGCCACATCGGCGGCCCGCCTTCGGCCCAAGCGAGGGGCGCGCGGGCTAGCACTCGCACCGAGGGCCGCCGCTGCGCGCGGCGCGCAGGGTCAGTCTGCCCGGCTCGGGCGGGCGTGCCAAGACGCCGCCTGCGACCAGCGTGAATAGCCGGCGCAGGAGGGTATCTGCAGTTTGCCAGCAGGCAAGGCAGGCGGTCCGAAGCCATCGGTGCCGCACACCGCCTTCTGGCCCCTTGGGCAAAGGTGTGTTTTGTAAAGCGGCGTAAAGCAGCCGCAGGTTTGTTCACGCAGCGGCCTGCAGGGGTCAAGCCGGGGGCAAGAGGCCGGGACGAGCCGCGGGGCCCGCAGCTAGGCGGGCCACTTGCCAGCGGGGGCGACAGGCCTGCGCCGACGCGCGCAGCCCGACAGAAAACAGAAGCCCTGAAAGTGCCTGCGGCGCGCCGAGCGCCACCCCATTGGCATTAGGACGGGCGGTGCGCGCGCGTGTGCCGCGCGTGCGCATTCCAGCACAACCGTTGTGACCGATGTGTTTGCTAAACTGTTCCTCTCCTGTTCGATCCATTACGAGGCGCTCGGCGGCGTGCGCCCATGTCGTACAACAGCGCCCCTGCAGTCCCGAATTTTCAAGTGGGCGCGACGCCGCGCGGCGCGCGTCGACCGGCCCCATGCCGCGCCGAGCGTGGGGCCGCAGTTCTGAGCAGCCCCGCGCCGCGCCCGCGCCCGCGACGCCGACCCCGCCGCCGCCGCCGGCCATCACTCGAGTGGCAGGGAGAGGACCAGGTCCAGCGAAGCAGCCACCAGCGGGGCAAGCAGGGGGTCGTCCAGGCTGCAATCGTAGCCCGTCATTTGGCGCAGCGCGCCCGGCCACGCAGGGAAC